GCCATAGTCCAACAAGGGGGAGAGGATGGGGACTCTAGTGCAACAGAGGGGCAGTGTAGTAGAGTAATGGGGGAGGGTGCCTGCCAGGTGATGTCAGAGTGAGGCGAAGGACCCAATATTACCTGGACCACTCCTACCTGGACCACTCCTCCTGGACCACTCTACCTGGACCACTCCTACCTGGCCCTCTACCTGACCCATTCTCTCTGGACCACTCCTCCCTGGACCACTCCTACCTGGACCATCCCTGGACCCTCCTACCTGGCCTCCTACCTGGACACTCCTACTGGACCACTCCTGGACCACTCCTTGCTGGCCACTCCTTGCTGGCCCTCCTACCTGGACCACTCCTACCTGGACCACTTCACCTGGACCATCCTACCTGGCCCACTCCCTACCTGGACCACTCCCTACACCTGGACCACTACCTGGACCACTTCCTATCTGGCCACTCTACCTGGACCACTCCTCCCTGGCCCCTCCTACCTGGCCACTCCTCCTGGACCACTCCTTGCTGGCCCATCCCTACTGGACCACTCCTCCCTGGCCTTCCTTGCTGGCCCACTCCTACCTGGACCACTCCTACCTGGACCACTCCTACCTGGACCCTCCTCCTGGCCCTCCTACCTGGACCACTCCCACCTGGACCACTCCTCCCTGGACCACCTCCCTTGCTGGCCCACTCCTACCTGGCCACTCCTCCCTGGACCACTCCTGCTGGCCCTCCCTGCCCTGGACCCTCCTCCCTGGCCCACTCCTTGCTGGCCCACTCCTACCCCTGGACACCCACCTGGACCACTCCTACCTGGACCCTCACTCCTGGCCTCCTCCTGGACCACTCCCACCTGGACCCTCTACCTGGACCACTCTACCGGACCCTCCTACCTGGCCTCCTTGGCCCCTCCTTGCTGGCCCACTCCTACCTGGACCCTCCTCCCTGGCCCTCCTTGCTGGCCCACTCCTACCTGGACCACTCTACCTGGACCCTCCTACCTGGACCACTCCTCCCTGGCCCTCCTACCTGGACCCTCCCCACCTGGACCCTCCCTACCTGGACCACTCCTACCTGGACCACTCTCTGGACCACTCTACAGCCCTCTTGCTGGCCCACTCCTACCTGGACCACTCCCACCTGGACCACTCCTACCTGGACCTCCTACCTGGACCACTCCCTATCTGGCCCTCCTACCTGGACACTCCTACCTAGACCACTCCTACCTAGCCTCCTACCTGGCCCACTCATTGCTGGCCTCTTCCCTCAACTCAACTCCTGACAAGAGACACAAATAAAAACATTTATTACCTCCACAAACTCCAACCTACCAAAAATATAAAATTATCCTTTTTTTCACTTTAACTTTCTAATTAATTTAAAACATTTATCAACCTTTAATATTTGTTTTATGTAAGGAATTATTTCATGATGTGGTTTTTAAGGTTTATATTTAGACTCGCCTGTAGTGAAATATTTATAGGTTTACTAGTGGTTCCCGTTGTATGACCCGAACTTGTTAAAACTGCACACAAAACTCTCAACTCTTAGTGGTGTGTGTGTGTGTGTGTGTGTGTGTGTGTGTGTGTGTGTGTGTGTGTGTGTGTGTGTGTGTGTGGTGTGACTAAGTAATCAGTGACATCTCATAACCTAACCTAACCTAACCTAACCTTAACCCATCAGCATATATCAAAACCTGAACAAGATAAAAGATACACAACCTTTAACAAACAACAAAGTCATTCTAGGATCCTGGAAAGGGAATGACGGACGTATTGTGGTCCATCCGTCCGTCGTTACGTCACCTGTCCGTGCTTCCGTCCGTTAATGAATAAGACGATAAACCAAACACAAATATTGATCTAATCTCAATTTATATCCACCAATATTTACCTAAGAGTTACAACTGCCTCTCAAACTTTAAAGTACCATCACTCAGAACTGACCTTAAATATAAAAAACCACAACACACTGACCAGAATATATCCAGGGAAATCAACTGAGGTACAAGTTATTCCTCTGTTATCTGTGACTCAAGTTGCCTCAGGACACCAGGAGGCAACTTGCATAACACGGAGATGATTGAAAATGTGTTTGGTAAGTTGATTGTCCAGGCCCCGTGGCGAGTGTCTGTGGGCTGTGTTGTCTAAGGGGGAGGGGGGTTGATGTGTGGGTTAGGTTAGGTTGGGGATGGGATGGGGAAAGACGTCTGCAGGAAATAAATGATGAAGAGGAATGAGGAAGAGGAGGAGAACCCGAAGGAAAAAGAGGAGGAAGAGGAGAGAAAAGGAGGAAGATGAGGAGGAAGAGGTCTCAATGCATGGCTCCTACAATCTGCTATCATCACACTGCCCATGATAAGTTACAACAGAAGAGATATTGAAGTATGACAATGTGGGTGTGAGGGAGGGTGTGTGAGGGTGGGGGTGTATGTTGTTGAGGGCGGACCTAATGTGGCCATAGGTTATATAAATCTTCCCTGCCAAAGACCAAAGAACCTCGCACCACCCACACCTATATTGGTTAGATGCAGAAACGTCATTTACCTGTACACATTATTGAACGTGTATAACCACTTGTTCGGTGTGAATGTCTAGTTTCTTGTTATAAGTTTATTAATCTGTTTTTATCTATAATTTCTTTCATTTATTAATACATTGTTTTAATACTGATGTTGTTCTTAGTTCATTGATTTATTTACTTCGTATTTATATTAATTGTTGTTACCTTTCCATTGTGTTTTGTGTAGTTCGTCATCAATATATTACTGTGTCTCCATACACCACCAGAATACAAGAACTTCACGAACTATACAATATCGAATCACTCAACACGTACACACAGCCAAGCTCAGAGAGTTGGGAGCAAACTTGAAGAGTTGGAGGGCCCAATATTCTCCCAGATAAGAAGAAACCACAAGAACACACAGCTGGTGGCCCAAGAGTCTCATACACACACATATAAACAAATAAACACCACCATTTAACTAACGCAAATTATACTATTGAATGCCTAGTTAACTTAGCTCCCTGCCTCCCCAGAGCGAGCGGGCGCCTGCCGTGTGTGGCCTACCCCAACCAATCACCTTGACTCAGCGAGGTGGACAGCCTACCTGCTATTACTCCCCACTACTTTACTTCCCGTTTATATTATTTCCTTCTCTCTTTCCTCTCCTCTCTCATGGCAAAGGATGTTCTTAAGAGGATAAATAAATTAAAGAAGACAAAATCCCCAGGGCCGGATGAAATTTTCCCTCGAGTTTTGAAAGAGTGTAAGGAACAGATTAGCGGACCTCGTAAAATTATTTACAAAATCATTAGACACGGGAGTTGTGCCAGACTTGTGGAAACAGGCAAATGTAGTACATATTCAAAAGGGGACAGAGCATCAGTGTCAAATTACCGGCCGATTAGTTTGACATCAGTAGTGGGAAATTTCTTGAAACAATTATAGCAAATAGCATCCGATCGCATTTAGGGAAAGCAAATTAATCTACGACTCCAACATGGGTTTACAAGGGAAAATCTTGTCTCACAAATCTGCTAACGTTTTTTGGAAAGTCTTCGAGGTAGATAATGACGAAAATTACGATGTATTTATTTACTTAGACAGCAAAGCGTTTGACAGATTACCATCAGAGGCTTCTGAGAAAAGTTAAGGCTCATTGTATCGAGGGAAAGTTATAAATTGGTTAAAATCATGGCTCACCGATAGAACACAGAGGGTCAGCGTACATGGTGTTAAATCTGAGTGGGGCCGTGTAACCAGTGGGGTTCCCCAGGGGTCAGTACTAGCCCACTCTTGTTCATAATCTACATAAACGATCTTGATACTGGGATCAGCAATGACATAAGCAAGTTTGCGGATGACACCAAAATAGGGCGGCAGAATAATTCAGGGCAGGATGCAAATGCACTACAGGAGTTTAAATAAACTGCAGGGGTGGTCTGAAAAATGGCAAATGAAATTCAACACCAGCAAGTGCAGCGTACTTAATATTGGTAGAACAAATATTGTCAATGTATACAGCCTTAACAACATCAACCTAGAAGTCGACTTGTGAAGACCTAGGGTACTGTAAGCCCGGACCTACGGCCTAGAAAACAGTGTTCATGTTCGAAATAAGGCAAACAGAGTATTAGGTTTTATATCTAGAAGTGTAAGTAATAAGAGTGCATAGGTCTTATTGCAACTATATCTTGACTAGTCAGGCCGCACCTCGATTATGCAGTTCAGTTCTGGTGCCCTTATTATAGAATGGATATAAATTCACAAGAGTCGGTGCAGCGAAGAATGACGAAAATGATTCGGGACTTAAAACCTTCCATATCAAGATAGGTTAAAGAAACTAAACTTGCATTCCCTAGAAAGACGAAGAGTGCGGGGAGATATGATAGAAGTATTTAAGTGGGTGAAAGGAATCAATAGGAGATATAGATAAAGTTCTTATAATATCCGAGCAGGATAGGACTCGAAGCAACGGATTCAAGTTGGATAAGTTTAGGTTTGGAGATAGGAAGAAATTGGTTCAAAATGGTGGTGGACGAGTGGAACAAGCTTAGCAACTTTGTAGTAAGTGCTAGAGCGCTGGAAAGTTTTAAAAGGAGGCTAGATAGATTCATGGATGATAGAGAGTGGTAGTAACTCTCGACAGGAGCTGCCATGCACAGGCCAACCGGCCTATTGTAGACTCCTTATTTTCTTATGTTCTTATGTTCAAAGTCATTTACCACTTTACTTCATCATCATCATCATCATCATCATTGTTGTTATCATTTACTCAACAACTACGGTCTTTATTCACGTACAGTACAGTAAGTCAGTTAATATACTAGTCTAGAGGGTCTGTCTGTCTGTCTTTCTTGTGTGTGTGTGTGTGTGTGTGTGTGTGTGAGCTCGTGTGTGACTGTAAAAACCATTCCCCAAAAGTTACTTAACACTCAGGTCGGATCGTGAAATATAAGGATCACTCTTTATTGTTTACAAGTTGTTTTAAAGAGAGAGGCAATGAAAACATGAGGTTTATTAAAAGAAAATATACATTTGGGTCTCTACAACACATATGACTCTCACTCTCGTATCTGGAAGAGTGAGGTGTTCCAGATAATCCTGAATATCGAAGAGTTCCCCTCCTTCGTGGTGTTTGGTTCTACCGAAATAAAACAACCTATTTCCTATGGCCATAACCGCCACCACCGTGTCCACCATGTCCACCGCCATGTCCACCACCGTAGCCGCCACCGTGTCCACCACCATGACCACCACCATGACCACCGTAGCCGCCACCATGACCACCACCGTAGCCGCCACCATGTCCACCGCCATGTCCATATCCACCTTTGGGACCAGCAATGTTGTAATTGTTGTTAGATGTCCCACCGACTCCTCCGTAGCCTCCGTGTCCACCACCATAGCCGCCTCCGTGTCCACCACCACCGTAGCCTCCACCATGTCCACCTCCGTGTCCACCACCACCCCCACCGTAGCCACCACCATGTCCGCCTCCATGGCCACCCCCGTGTCCACCAGCCTGGCTAAGGGACGCCAGCAGGAGGACACAAGCCAGTGCAAGGAGAATCTTCTGCAACAAACACAGACAAAATATTAAGAAACAACTTAATCAACTTTCAGAAATTATCAACAAACCAATCCTATTGTACTGCCACCACCTGGTAATTACTACACCTGTACGTTATACTTATATCTGTATTAACATTGATATTTATAAATAATGTTTCTGAATCTGAATATGTAGCTTACAGGTCCTGATACAATGGATTCATTTTTACGTTTAATTTCCACTTCCGCTTGTGGTATCTATCTTACGTTAACAGATGCCAATAAAGATGTTCATGGTTGCTGTGTTTGTGTGTTTACAGGAAACTTTTAGTATTTTTATGGGAACAAATATCACTAGTGAACCTGTGAACTGACTCCTAAAAAGACAACATTAACTCGCTTGAGATCGGGCCAAAGCTCAGTATTTTCTCAGGTAATAATTGCTATATATTAAGAGTTCGTAAACTACTATCAACTTTTAATAATCAAATATTGTTTATTATTTACAGCTGTTTTTGTTTTATCTAAATGAAAAGCCAATAGACTCCCTACAGGCTTGGCTCTCCACTTACCATTATGGGTGATTATCACGAGGGACGGTCGGTACTGAACTGTCTGCTGAGCCCTAGAGACATAAAGCTTTTATACTGGCTTTCAGGTGGCACAATGAAAGCGATTTGTTCCGTGAGGTGACCGAGGCAGGCGGTGCCAAGCTGCCTCCCTCGGTGAAAGTGTAACAATGGGTGATGAAATGAACCTGGATAACTTATTGACTACGTGAGAGTTTTGTCGGTGTCAGTACAGTGTTGTAGCAGTGTATGGTGTTGGTTACGCAGGGTGAGTATTGTGTACGTGTATATCTATATATATTCCCAAAAGCCTTAATGGAAAGTGACTATACTATTTATGGAACAAGAACAAACTTTTGCCCGCCCGTCGTATCTTACTGGCCTGACCTAACAAGAATTATAAAACGGTTCCTTAACCTCAATAATACACACACACTAACAAGGTAAAGATACATACATTACAACGATATCCAATAATACGGCTGTAACTTGTCCATCTAATCTGGGACCTTGCTAAATATATAAATGCAGAGACAGCTGTATACCTCATCTTCTAAAGCTATCTATATATATCTATGTCTGTCTATATCTGTCTGTTTGTCTGTCTATAAATTCGGTTACCAGGCCCATTGATAACACAAAGAGTGAGTTGAAATCCCCCGACCGTTCCACCCAGACGTAATCTTGAAAACTGACCTAACTCAAGGTGAGGGTCAAGCTGATTACTTTACCTGTCGATTGGTCTCGCTTATTTCTGACGAGTACTTATGACCACGAGAGATTTTTGTTAAATTACATAAATTCTTAAACATCCAGGTATAAGTCCAATCACAACTACAGTTACAGATATTAATACCTGTACAGTCATACAAACATAAGAATTGATATAGAGATTTTAGCAATTTATTCATTAATTAAAAACATAACAGGTGTAAAAGATCCCATAATTGAAACATTACACAAGCAATCTTTAGTATTAATATTAATTACCAAACTTTATTTTATATATAGCAAGATATTGAAATGATATTATCGTTATTCTATTAATATCATATTTTCTCGCCAAGTTCTCAATCTTCTATAATTGTCATTCCTCTTTGGGGTTAAATTTGTTTCATTGAGAACTTGGGTGCGTTGTGCCCAGACACTTGTGTTGTTGAAACGAGAGGCGTCAGTCACACTAGACATATAATAACGCCGCTGTTGGCATTTTGTTATGATCCTGATATAACTGTATTTTGTGTTTGTTTCCTGTAACTGTACTTGTCTCTGTTCCCTGTAATTGTATTGTTAGAACAGTTGGTAATATATTTATTATCAACTGTGGACCTCTGAGAGTTTGTTGTCTACCGTACGACAGAATGGACTGGTCACCGTATTACAGAATGGATATAGAATCCCGAGAAAGAATTCGGAGGAGAATGACGAGACTAATCCCGGGCATTGGGAACCTTGAGTATAGAGACAGGTTAAAGCTTCTTAATTTGCACTCCCTCGAGAGACGTAGAGTGAGGGGCGATATGATAGAGGTGTATAAATGGAAGTCAGGGCTAAACAAAGGGGACATTACAAAGGTACTCGAACTATCCAACCAGGAGCGAACTCGTAACAATGGTTTTAAATTAGACGAATTTAGATTTAGGCGCGAAATTGGTAAACATTGGTTTGGAAAATAGAGTAGTGGATGAGTGGAACAAGTTACCAAATATCATCATTAACTCGAATACGCTGGATAGCTTCAAACATAGGTTGGAGTGATATTTGAGCAATAGGGGTTGGGTGTAAACGGGACTGCCCAGTATGGGCCAATAGGCCCGCTGCAGTTTCCTCCATTCTTATGTTCTTATGTTTCTTGGCCGCCCGGTGCACCTCTCACTACACCGAGAGGGGCTACCGTTAATCCGTAACTTGCATTTCCGTATGTGCTGATTGGTTGGTTGCCTTCTCGCACTGTGATTGGTTACCGTTGACGCAGGGCCGGATTCAGGAGTGGGCAAAGTGGGCAGCTGCCCAGGGGCCTCCACAATCTGGGGGCCTCCACATATTACAATATTTTATTTATTTGTTTATTCATTTGGATTATTTTTATTTTCATTCTTTAAAAAGTCATTTTATCTATAAATATACAGTTAATTAAAAATTTCTTAATGTTCTAATTTTCCCAATATAACTGCATATGGCTTCAAAATTCTCCAAAGAAGTGTTCAAATTTCAAAATTTTCCCGGGGGGCTTACAGCGCCCCCCGGAACTCCCAGATGTTTAGGCTCGCTTCACTCGCCACCCCACCCTCTTGGGTAGTTATAATGAGGGGGGCCTCCACAAAGAGGCTGCCCATGGGCCTCCACAGGTCTAAATCCGGCACTGTGTTGACGTCACAAAACTAAGTTCTCGTTGACAATACAGAAAACGTGAGACTATACTAAGTAAACTAAAGAAAAAATAAAATTTACTTTAGTATATGTTTCTATTGTAGTTTATGATAGAAATGATTAATGTTTGTATCTTATGTGATACTGTTACAAAACAACATTGATATATATATATAATATTGTCATGTGTAGCGTTTATATATATATATATATATATATATATATATATATATATATATATATATATATATATATATATATATACACACTTCATTTTTAGTCCATATAACACGCGGACTTTGAACATATAATCAACTCGAACCCTCGACCTACTGTGTGGGACCAGGGAACGTTACCGACCATGCCACAAGGATACTAAAAGCAGTTCTAGACTATGTTATATTTCACACAATGGTTGTTGATTATATGTTCAAAGTCCGCGTGTTATATGGACTAAAAATGAAGTATATATGGTACCTCGTGTTTCATACCAGCTGGATTCGGTAAAATGCTACTGACATCCACATAAGCGGCACGGGCAGTTCCCAATGGGAGGTTCACGGCGCCATCAGCTGGATGAACAGGCTTTGTGTGAAATATAACATAGTCTAGAACTGCTTTTAGTGTCCTTGTGGCATGGTCGGTAACATTCCCTGGTCCCACACAGTAGGTAAAGGGTTTGAGTCCTGGCTGGTGAGGTCGTTGATTATATATATATATATATATATATATATATATATATATATATATATATATATATATATATATATACACACAATCAACACCTCAGCCTGTTAGATTCAACCACGGCCCGACTGTGACGGGGGAATAACCACTGGACCACCAAGATACTAAAAGCAGTTCTAGGCTCTGTTATATTTCACACAAAGCCTGTTCAACGAGCTTATGGCGCCGTGAACCTTAATGGGGACTACGTATCCGTATCGTGAGTGGTCAGGGTAACGTTTTATCAAATCCGGCTTCGAAACACGAGGATCCCTGGTGGTCCAGCGGTTTGCGTTTCCCGGTCACAGTCATGGGCTCGAGGCCGTGGGTTCGAATCCTGGTGGGGTTGAGTGTGTGTGTGTGTGTGTGTGTGTGCAGGCTTTGCAAAAGGCTTTCGATGAATCGTCTTCTACCCCAGACAACCAGGGTTGAAAATCCGGGTTCAGCAACCAGTCTTGGCGAAATTTCTGCCTGGGCGCCATTTCAACCTGTAAATGTATTCACTCTTCAGAAAAAAATCTCAGCTAGTTCCTCTGATTGAGCATCAAGAAATTAAATTTCCCCCCGAGTTTTGGTAAAGAAGGGGAAATATAATGGGATTCTCGCCTTAAGGAGATAAAAAAATATTACTTTTTCCCGATAGAGCTGACTTTACCACAGTCTACGTATGACGTGAACGAAAGAGCTAAATAAATTAATTAATATTTAAAAGTGAAACAAAATATATAGTTAACTCACCAAAACAATGTTACTGGAGTGAGACTGTCTGAAGAAGGAAGTAGTACAGCACACAGCAGGACTGCACCACTAAATCTCCTGTAAGGAAAACGTTCGGTTTAAGTTATTTTATACTGAATATTCACTTTTACTGTGGAGGTACAGTACAGTAGTTCCATTGCAAGAGTTCACAATAAGACAAAGCCTGAGATAGTTCCTCCTTCCTACCAAGACGTACATGTTCTAAGAAAAGAAGAAAATATGTATATATTTGATGGATAACTTTCCTATTTATTATGAAGACTTATTGAATACTAATAAATCCTTAAAATATTGAACAATCAAATATTATCTTACCAAAACTCAGAAGGTTGTTTGAAGATATTTGGTTTTCAAGCTCAGAGGAATAAGGCATCTGGAAATCACTGCTATATACAAGGACAAGGCTTCTATGTTTGGCCTCACCATTTCCGTAACTTTACAGACCGACATAAATGTTAATATCACATTATATTTTATTTGAAATTTATTTTTACAAACATTTATTCATTATCTGACTAGAAATTAGCCAAATTTATAACATTTCCGTAATTTCCGTATCTCCGGAAGACTGACGTCACGGCGTCCGTAAACGTCTTTTGTTTGGGTGACCGCTCGTTTGGGAGGAGCTGTGTACGGCTGTGCGCTGCTCTGAGCCCCTGCGTCTGCGAATCGTGTGTGGGAGTCAGACCACCACACTAAGATGTGTAAATTCATAGTAAACAAGTGATTCAATCTTTTAGTTAAAATAATACGTAACACAGTTCTTGTTCGGTACTATTTCCATATGGCTCACGCGTCAATCACTTTAGGTCCTGGTGTCATGTGACTGTCTAGCCGATTCTAGCCAATCAGCGTTGTTCTCGGTGTTGTTATACTCCTGCGCATGCTCGGTTTCGAATTCTAGTTGGCTAGTTGGAAAATGGCTTCTCTCTGAACCGGTGTTCTATCTCGATTTGGCAAACCATTCATCGTGTTGAAAACGAAGCCGCTGCTATTGACATCTTTAAGATTCATGGTGTTCTTTGATAAATATAGAACAATTGTGGAAGGATATCGAGAGTTGGATGCTTAGTGCCGGCAAAGAACATTACGAGCACTATATATCCCTGAACATGTTCCAGCCGAATACAACGATCACAAGACCATAGACTACACCACTTCCCCCTACAACTGACATCACTTTATCCTCTAGCATCTGTTAATTTAGGTAAGTGTTTT